TTTGCTTCAAAAACAACAAAATTTTCCAAATTTCTCCTAAAAGTGTTTCTTTTTAGCCATTTCTCTTGAAACGTGAGAAAAATCTTCAAAATTACTTTATAACAGAGCTATAAAATGTCACGATGAAACATATTAGGTAATTCAAACCACGTGATTTTCCAAGGAGAATACACACTCTAAGCAGTGCTTATAGGTATCGGCCTCGTTTTTGGTAATCGCCGCCATATTGGTGTGATACGTACCATTCTCGACGTCCTAATAGACCTATCTATTTTATCAGACAAAGAGGTAATAATACGAAAACTTTATTAGATAGAAAAAGACGCAGAACGCTTATTGCGCAAGACGAGGCAAAATGTACCAAATTATGTTAGACTTACGTAATAGCAATCCGTTCTTATTATTTGCACGGAATGAAAAAGGAAGGAGGAAAACCGCTTGACATGCAACGTATTTGTCAATCAAATACACAAACAATTGAAAATCGATCACTTGTCAAGCTACGTCACGTTGAATATCAAGCATAATTTTATCCTTGTCAGACCACGGGCAATGAACAAGGACAAGGAGATGCCCAGCGTGCAAAACGAACACCTCTCCTCTCACCTGTACTAGTTAGCCAATAGAAAGGCATTGCCTCGTGTTGCGGGTAAAAATAGATAGGTCTATTACCCTAATAACACCGATCTCCCAGAAACATCCTATTTATGTACCATTAAGGTCCTTATGTTTCCGACATAAATGGTACATCGCTGCGATGTTTGTAATGTAACATCTCTAGGATGATTGTCCTGAAATGTTTTAGAAACATCCTTTCGAAAATATCTATCGACAAAAAGATTTTTCGTTCTCAAAATTAGATACTTATTACAGCTGAAAAATGGCTAACATTATTTTACAAAACTAGGTAGGACCTCAGACCGGCAGGACCCAGTATTAAATTTGCCAATTTTGTGTGATTTCTGAAAATGTCTCTATCACACACACAAACTAATTTCAAATTCCATAATATACCTGTAATGTATATAGATAAGGTACTTAATATTAATTTTGTATTGTAACAACAGCAAAATTTAATTTTTCATTCGACTTACAACTTGGAATAAAATAAAATATGTATTGATAAAAGTCTTCTCTCTTTTCAACTTTCAAACATCGTGAATATTCGTGAAGCCGAAGTGTATGGCGCAGGCGCGTGCTCAGGCATTTGTACTTGTACCGGTCAGGACAGGAGGGCACGCCACCACGTCGGGTCGGCGCCGCAGCCAGCGCAGACGGGCAGAATCAGTCGAACGGGTCGTCCTGTGCGCTTCGCTTGTGTTGTTGGGCGGAATTTTATTTCGTAATGGCGTCGTGCTGTGTGGAGGATTTTTCAATTTGTGGTTTTTCGCTACACCTAGTTGTGCCATTTATTTGTGTTCGAAAGGATCTCTGCGACCTACCAGTGCTTATTAGTTGGTGAGAAAGATTATTTGTTGAAAGATAACGTCGCATAACTATCAATTGTTTAGTTTATTTAATTTCAATATGGCGTCGGTTAGGAAATTTCTAACTTTTCTAATAAATAGCCCCTAAAAACCCGAACTTCATTCTTCATTAGGTAAGAGAAAATAACCAATAATTATTTTTTGTTTTCATAGTTGATTACATTCTAGGTGTGCAAGTTGAATTGTACTTCAAGAACTTTGGATTTTGGTTCTGTGGTTGTTTTGGTTAGTTAATGGTACCTTTATGAAATTGGAGCACCAAAAAAAAAAAGAAAACGCCGAACTCCCCCACTACAACATGCTGCCACTGCCAAACTATGGTTTACGATGACATGACGGGGCATAAATACTACATTATTTAGGCAAAATTGTCCGTCGGTTATTATTAGTTGATAGATAATCAATATAAGTATGCATGTACCTTATTTTTTCAATAAAAAATGTTATTGGAAACTGATGTGCCTACTTAATTTTATAATTTTCAATTTTTGTTTTTTTTTTGGAAAAAGTTCTATCTGACTTCCAGAAAATAGAACGAAAATTGAAAATTATTGAATTAGGTAATTTTTAATCCATAATCCTAAAATTCATTCACCTATTAAAGTCATACTAGAAACATATAGAGGATGTTTCTTACACCTGCCCCGGATGTATTAGGTACATCCCGCGTCATCTTAGAAACATCCCTGAGAGATGTTTATAGGACATCGCAAATGATGACACGGCTGTTGCCTGCAACATCCCAGGGATGTCCCCAGGAAAATAAGGACCTCCCAGGGACGTCTTCATTATCCCTGATGGATGTTTCTGGAATGTTTCTGCGATGTTACTGTGTTATTAGGGTAAGTCGTCAGCTGTTTAAAACAGCCTACGTCAAGGCGAGAAATAAAGCTGCTTACGTCACAACTGGGATTTTGGCGCGGGGGAGATTTGTTACGCACTGGCCTTATGAGGATAGGCCATCCTGTAGTGTATCATCCTTGGTGATTTTCTACAATGTCAAAATTGACAGGAAAGAAATAGTCATAAGGCGTATTTTAGCGACCAGTAAACATCATACTACACATACTACGATTCATGACGTCATAGTAACCCAAATAACAGGTGGAGTGTATTTGACAAAGGGTCTAAAAAAGGATGCCATGATCTTTGTTTATTTGGGTTTGTTGAATTTTACATAATTTTGCGTTTTCGAATTTCAATATAATTTCTCCAGTGAAGATTTTCGAATATTTTCGATAAATTGTAGTATTTTTGAATTTTATGGGGACCCCATCCCAAAAAAAAATAAAATTACACTTTTGTGCACAAGTTAAGATTTTTTTTTTACAAAAAACCTCTAATAAAATCATAGAAAACAATGGCAAAATGGGGAAAAACAATCCTCTATTTATAATGGAAAGAACTGTGTCGGTAATCGTAGTCAGCTGTTTTGCCCATAATATGCTCATTTTCGTGTATTAGAAAAAGATGCACTGACATACTACAACCAGTAACTATCCCTCGTAGGATGGTTACATGTTTACAGCCGAGTTTTATGTTGTGTTTTATGTTGTGACGTCATAGTATGTCAGCCATGATCGCTAAAATGTAGTATCCCAAGTAAATACAACATACTACTGGGTTAAAACTCTCGCTAAAATACGCCTATAGTCATGGTAAGACTTTTGTGACATCATTGGATTGAACTGTTAAAAACATCGTGAGTAGGAGAGAGATAAAAACACAAAAATGACAATATTTTTGCGTATGACACATTGTGGAAAGTGCGGACCATCTCATGCATTTGTTTTCAATCCTTGATGGTAACTATGGTACAAGTATTTGCCATCACGCGCCATTGTAGAAAATCACATGGTTTGAACGGGTTTGAATTACGATTCTTGGGGTTTGAACATGTTTTTGGTAATCGCCGCCATATTGGTGTGTCACCATTTTCGACGTCATAACTAAGTCGTCAGCTGTTTGCACTAGCGGTCGTAGTTTAAAATTTAAATCTATGATGAAAAATATTATTTAGTTATGATTAACATAATAGGCAAAGAGGAAAAAAATGAAAACGAGATCCGAAAAAGAATGTTAATTTATGTGGTAAAACCGAGTAAAACCAAGTACCTATTTATAGAGCCCGCGGAATCATTAACCTGGAAGGCGAAAAAGGACATGCCGACTACGTCACAACTGGTGATTTGGCATGGCGGAGGGCTTCAGTCAGATTTGTTTCACACAGGCCTATGAGGATAGGCTATCCTGTAGTAGAGTAGTATGTATAATAATATAGATAATTATTCCTGATATGTTCCATCCAACTGTCTCAATGGCGTTTCCGGTTGGTAAAATGAGTGCAAAGAAAATGTATTTCTATCTTGTTTCTTCAACAGGCTGACTGTGAACTTGGATGAAAACTTGTACCAAGCAAGTTAATGTTAGAACCTATCAAACTGGCTTTGGATTAAGCAGTGAAGCGTGCATAGCATCCAATGCTTAGACATCCAATGGTACTTGATCCAAGTACACTTATAGATCGTATCAACCTACTGGCTTAAACGTAAAATGTGCGTTGAACAAAAATTTGTAACTTATCCTCTCCAAATCATATTTTTGGTCCAAAATTGGAAAAAAAACTGCATGTAGGTATTGGTCGAAATTAGTCCTAGAAGTGCATTCTTCATATTGTCTGCAATATTTCAATTTTCTCTGATCAAAATGTATTTAAAATAATCCTAAAGATGGACCGTTGAACATAAAACCACCTAAGTAAATGAATATTTATTTTTTTTGAAATTGATTTCTAGCAACGTATAGGAGTTGTGGAGCTGTGCTGTGGTAAATAAGAAATAACTCTAGAATCAAATGTTGATTGATATGTATTACCGGTATAACTTAGTGCAAAAAAAAAATTGGGCATAAATTCAGAATTCTTTATAGAAGAATTCATTTACTTCAGGCTTGAGTTCACCACACTGCTAAGAATTCATGTTCGATTCAGGCCGCGGTGGTGAACTCGCTGTAGAATGTAGAGATGAAGGTAACCTACCATTTGAAAAAGAATCTTAAATTTGTGAAAAAAAAAACTTCCTTTCCTTTCTAGTAGTAGAAACCGATCAAAACTCTATTACAAGGATAAAGAACTCTTTTATAGAGAGTGAGTTTAGTCAAATGTTAAAAAGCGAAAAACAGACAAAGAGCTCGCAGAGCGTTGTAAATGTACCCTATATTATCTCTATCTCTCCGTGCGTTCGTTATTTTGGTCTGAGTTCTCCGAGCTCGACTTTACCGTTCGTTTATATAAAAAGTGTACTCGGTGCAGCCTCATTCGCGTTCGTTTATTAAAATTTCCGGTACTTTTATACGGCGTTCAACTGCTCCGTTCGCTCGCTGGTCACGTGATTGCGGCTCCGCTCAGCTCGCTCTACACTTTGAACAAAATACCGAACGCAAGGTCTGTCACTTCTAGTAAACTGTGCTTCCAGGATTGAGTTCACTTAAAGACGGTTATGATGACGAGAGAGGTGATTGTCAAAGTCAAACTTACTCTGACATTAGATTTGTAAACATAAACAAATTTTAGTCAACAAAGCAAATCTCTTTTCTAAAAACAAATTAAATAAATTATTATGAAATTAGAAACCAAAAATGATCCACGATAACGTTTTGGAAATCTGTCGCCTGATATCAAACGATAAATGCATAAGGATACTGGCCACTGCAATAGTGGGATTTTCTGTGGTTCTATGTTTCACTTTAAGGTAAGCAATATCAATTAAATACCATTAAAAAATTCATTGTGCAACCAATTTTAATATCATCCTCCTAATTTCAGTCCCCTCTCTGGCCTTCTAGTATTCTCTTGCTACCTCCTTGGCTATTTCGTATCATTCTTCTTGGTCAAGTATCAACAGTTTGCAGCCCTATACATAGAAAAGTTAGTAAGTCTATACACTTTCAAAGCCACCCTTAAGTCAAAGCTAAAAGCTTCGTGCAGTGTATGCGATGATCTTACCTGTACAAGACATCAGGTTGCTAAAAGAGTGGTTCCTTGGAAGGATGTGAGGATTAGTGAGGAGTTGAATGAGGCAATTGAACATGTAAGTATAGTACAGCTTACCTAACTTGCACCAAGGCTAATAATAAGCTTATATTCTGATTTATTGGTCTCTGAAAATCTCATTTATATGACATGGCCTCACAAAATCATCTATTAGGTACTCCCTTAATAGGTATTTCACATAATTCAATGTAAAAATTCTGAATCAGAATTTAATGCTCTTCAAGATGAAACAAGTTTGATTCCAATATTTGGAACGGTTTTGAAGATATGGAGCATGGACCTGTGTCAGATTTCCATAGAGCTCCTTTGGTGCTACATCAAAAATTATTTCTTTGGGTTTTTCAAATTTTTGACTTTACCAATCGAAAAAGGAGGTCAAATTCAGTAGAGAAACATTCTGACAACTCTATGTTAGAGGTTTAAAGGCTTGAAACAAATTGAAAAGACTTGATGGTCCCTGAAAATTACATTTATTTGACACGGCCTCACAAAATCATCTATTACTCTGTTAATATTTCACATATTTCAATGAAGAAATAACTATTCTGGATCAGAATTTAATGCTCTTCAAGATTAAACAATTTTGATTCCAATATTTGGAACGGTTTTGAAGATATGGATCTCCAAAGTTGAAATTTTGTGTCAGATTTCAATAAAACTCCTTTGGTGCTACGTCAAAAATTATTTAGGCATTTGGATTTTTCAAATATCTGACTTTACCAATCGAAAAAGGAGATCAAATTTAGTAGAAAAACATTCTGACAACTCTATGTTAGAGGTTTAAAGGCTTGAAACAAATAGTCTCTAAAAATTTCATTTATTCAACATGGCCTCACAAAATCATCTATTACTCCATTAATATTTCCCATATTTCAATGAAAAAATAACTATTCCGGATCAGAATTTAATCCTCTTCAAGATAAAATAAGTTTGATTTCAATATTTGGAACGATTTTGAAGATATGGGCCTCCAAAGTTGAAACTTTTTGTCAGATTTCCATAGAGCTCTTTTGGTGCTACATCAACAAATATTTCTTTGGGTTTTTCGAATTTTTGACTTCACCAATCGAAAAAGGAGGTCAAATTTAGTAAAAAAACATTCTAACAACTCTTTGTTAGAGGTTTAAAGGCTTGAAAGAAATTGAAAAGACTTAATGGTCTCTGAAAATTATATTTATTCGACATGGCCTCACAAAATCAACTATTACTCCGTTATTATTTCACATATTTCAATGAAATAATAACTATTCTGGATCAGAATTCAAGGCTCTCCAAGATAAAACAAGTTTGATTCCAATATTTGGAACGGTTTTGAAGATATGGACCTGCAAATTTGAAACTTTGTGCCAGATTTCCATAGAGCTCCTTTGGTGCTACATCAAAAATTATATTGGATTTCTGAACAACCCAAAATACCTTAAGAATGAGGCATTGTCAGAGTATTAAATTTGAGGGTAATCATTCCTAAAAACAATGTTAGTTAATAATTATTATTTTTTTTTAGTTTTACAACAGAATTCTGGCAGACTTTATTTCATCCTGGTACAGTCAGTTTACTGACAATCAAGAATTTATAAATGAATTACGATATTGCCTTAAATATGCAAGTGCTTCTTTGGTGAATAGGTTTTTTGAAGTCGACTATGTCCAAGTGATTACTAATAAACTTGTTCCACAGGTAAAAAGTTCCAAGATATTTTTATAGAAATTAATATTTAATTTGTTTTAAGGCAATTAAACACATTGATGACTACCTTTACATGCAGCAAATTGCTAAACTTAAAAATGTTAAATTCAATGATGTGATTGTTGAATATTTGGGTAAAAACTTGCATCCTGCTACAACTAATAGAAAAAATGAATTAGCTTATCTTCAACATTTGAGCAATGAAGTAATTAAACATGTATTGCCTCAGCAGTATGTAAAATGCAAGTAAGTATATAACAATTATTTAAAATACACTACTTACTGAAAAACTTTTTCTTTTTTTAGAAATTACTCCATTTTAATAAGAGAACTATTATCAGGTTGGGTCCTTTTACCTTTAATGGATGTCCTAGCTGATCCAAACATAATCAATTCATTAGTTATAATAGCAGTGAATTATAAATCTTCAAAACATCAAAAATTTCAGCAGTTTGTTCCAGAAGTGGAATTTTTACATAATTTTGTTAAAATAGACAATTCAAAAAAGTCACCATTTGCAACCAATTTAAATAAAATCAAAAACAACACCGAACTGTTATATGCTTTTATGCAATTTTTGAAAAAACAGGAGCAAGTGTATTTATTGCAATTTTGCTTAGATGTTGGTAAGTTGTTTTCTTTGAACACTTCAGTTACCTTATTGAGTTTTGTTTCAAGATGACTTCAACACCAAATTGCTTACTCCAGACTTATCAAAAAAATTACTAGAAGAACTTCACTGTCAAGCCTCAAAATTATACAGTGAATATTTAAATGGGGAATCATTCAATTTTATCGGTTGCTCCAGGGAAATAAGCTGTGAATTCAGTATGCTTATTAGTGATATTTACAGTGTAGCCAAACTGAGAACATCCAAGCCACTCTATCAAGCTTACGATTTTGCCTTCAATCATTTGGAAAATTTTTGGTTGCCACAGTTTTTTCACAGCAATGAGGTGAAGTCACTAAAAAATTGTTTGCCTATAATATATAATAATGATTTTTTTTTTAGTTTTATAATTGCATATGTGGGTCAAAAGTTACCACCACATACAATAAAGCTTCTATAAAGTAAGTGTTTTCGCATTTGAATATTAATAAAACTAACAACTATTTTATTGCTGCTTACTAACCAAGAACTCCTCCACTTTGCTTTGGTTCTCCAAATAAATTAAAGTAAGATTTTTGAGCTCTTATAATGGAATAAAAAATATAGTGAATTTTATTTTAGAAGCAAAAAATATTATGAACAGACCAACTACAGTGCAGTATCAAAAATCAGCAGTGGCTTGGGTAAAATTAAAGGTGTTCTCAAAACTGCAACACCTATAGAAGGCTCTTTGGATCCTCTTGAAAATGACTTCACAGAGGATGCTATTTTGCCAGATAATCTTGTACGAGATTTGAGTAGCTGGAAAGTGTCAATACATACTTATCAGGTAAAAATGTTTCCTTTACTGCATAATGTCACATGCATTTGGACTGGATCACTTTAGAGCAGTTTACGAATTGTCCCAATAGCTAAACGTTGTGAAAAAAAAAACTGTAACGATAACTATTGCTGGCCAGTGTCACTTGGTGTTTAATGAATGATTTGACTCTTGAGCCGGCTGCTTTATAGTTTTATGAAACTTTGTAGGAGGGAATAACTCTATAATATGTCCCGGTGAAAAAATTCGGAACTTCTAACTCTCCTCTGTAGTTCAACACTGAGCTGCATAGATTGATTGTTGAAAAGAAGAAGCTTCACTACTATTTGTTGTTCTATGAAGTGAGGGATAGGTGCCAGGATTTCAGGGATTCCTCTTATAGAGTGTACCTGCTCAAAACTGAAAATAACATTAATGGGAATTCTAGATAATTTTGATAACATATCAACAATTTTAGAAATAATTTTGTTCTTCCTTGTAACATGAGTTATAATGTCCCTACTGCCTGTAGTAATCGAGAGACTGTAAACTTCTTTTCTAGTGTTTACTCGAGCCGTACCACCACTAATCAAGCTCCAAAATACTTATTTTCCAACGTCACTGATGTTTCTGGAAACTCAGTTTTTTGTGCTGAGATTATAGAACATGTAAAAAAGTTACCTGATTAATTGTCATGTAGGCCAGATGGAATTCTCTTGCTCTTTATAAAGAATGTCTTATTTACACCTTTGCGACGCCCCTGAAAATCAAATTGTCAGCATTTTTTACTGGTTAAAGCTGCCCTGAAGAAACTCTCCTAATGACTGAAAGGCCCTAGCAAAACATACAATCTAATGCGGTTTTTAAATATCTGAATGTCTAAATTTCAATTCTTCAAAGAATTTTATTGAACTGGACCACATAATCTCTTGTACACAAAATTTAACGTTTTTCGAGGGTCTTGGTTTTTGAAAATCTTCCAATTTGGAACCAACTACATTTATTGTAATTTTTTCTAGATCATCCCAGCTAATAAGATCACCTACTTCTGTCTAAACGTCTTGCACGTAGACAATACCACCCCAGAAAGTAAAATCAACAATTGGATAGTATGGAGAAAAGATCAGGATTTTTTCACTTTGAAAGCTAAATTGGTGGAATTCCATGGGGAGAGTGAAATATGCGATTCTCCATTGCCTTCGAGAAAAGCAGGTGCTCTTGTTGAGGCCCGTATGACCAAATACGAAGATTTTTTGTTGAAATTACTGTTGAAGCCTAGTTTGAGGGGCAGTGATTTGTTGCATACTTTTCTTACAAGTGAAGAGGATTTTACTTTGGGTAATAATATGTTGTTTTGATGTTTTTAATTGTTGTCTAATCACTTCTCGAATTAAAGTTATTTCAACTTTGGCACCAAATAACCAAGATATTGGTAACATTTACCAATCAGTTGCCTATAAATTGAGAAAAGAAAAAGGACAATATTTGGACAGTTTTATGAGCACATTTGTGAATTCTGTTTTAAAACAAAAGCAAGAGTGAGTTTGCCATATTTTCTCTAGGTTTATAACAACAAGACAATTTTTATAGTAAAATTGACGTTGCCGAAGAAGGTATTGAATTGGCAGTACCCTTAAACAAAGAAGCAACTCTACCAAAGACATTTAAAAATAACATTTTCAAAGATAATTTTGGTATATCTTATAAATTGAGTAATGGAAGTAGCGGAAGCAGTTTCAATCCTGGAATGTTTTCAGAAAGCCTATTTTATTTGTGTAAGTTTATTTGATGCGTTTTAAATATTTTAGTATTTTTCCTATTTTAGTTAAAAACGTCTTTAAAGTGCATTATGTCCCATTGAAAATCTATGTAGCAATCTGTAGTGTTGGTCAGCAACTTATAGATCTGCTCAGCAAAATATTAATTGACAGGAAAATTAGGTCCGGCTTGACTCAACATAATTTGGCTTATCTTATTGGATTATTAGAAGGTTGGTAACTGACTCTAATACAATACACAAATTGTTAGCCTAATTTTTTTTTAGGTGTTATTTTCAATCCTTCTACACCACATACCATTGAAGAATACAAAGAGCGGCAACTGAAAGCTTTTGAGGATATTAAATTTTGTCCAAAATATATGGATAAAATTTTGGGTGGTCACATCAACTATGGCTTGACAAATCTTTTAGAAATATTGCAGAATCCTCATTATAATAAGCAGGTGAGTGGAAGCAATATAATCAGTTAAATTTGACAATAAAGCATTGCTTTTTTTTTCAGCTGGCTTATAATTTGTTAGACACTGCACTGATAGAAATGTTTCCTGAAATAATTGAAGCGAAATAATTTAAATACCCACTTGGTTTAAAATTTTATTCATGTAAGAGATTGTGATATTGCAAAGTAACTTACTAAAGTTTAGCCTATGTTATTTACTTTTTGTATTAAGTAAATTTGAAAATAAATAAGTTTTTTAAATTAGGTATTCGATTTTCAATTAGTATAAGTGTAATTCCTTTATTTCCCTATACTTCTAAAATATTAGGATGTTTGTATTTTGAAGTCACTTGTTCGTCTTAACTTCATTAAAATCCAGGCTGATTGTATAATCACCTTTTTTTCTATCAAATTATGATACCTAACATTTTGATTTCGCCAAGTTCTACTCTTCTTTATGAAAAGGTCAAATGGGCGAGCAGGTAAATTTAAGTGTTTTGGAGACTTCAATTACACAGAGATCAATTGGGATAAACTTACAATCTACCCTCACAATCAATGCTCATCAGAAGATTTCTTTAACAGCTATCAAATCACTAACGCGCATCAGGTAATAACGTTTCCTACAAGATACAGAAATAATGAAATCTTATTACTAGGTCTATTGCTGGTTAATGACAAAAACTCAATATTCAGTATACAGCAACACCCACCAATAGGGCGTAGTGATCATGTAGTGATAACAGCTAAAACACGGATTCAACTGGCTTCCAAGCCAACTAAAAAAATCTATAAAAGAAATTTCTGGAAAGCAAATTATTATGATGAAATTAACAAGTACCTACATAACATAACTGAACAGTTAGATGCCCACACATGCCAAATTGATGCAACACAGCTAATAAGTTTAGTGACGAGAACTATTGAGCTGAATGTACCCTTAACACCTAAGCATGTCAATTCACCTTGGCTTAACTGGGAAGTTTTTAAGCAAATCAACGTCAAACGAAAACTTTAGGATAAGTATAAAAGGACAAAAACAAACACAGATTATGATCATTACAAACAACAAAATAAATATAACGAAGCAGATCTTAAAGCAAGCTAGGCAAGAATATGAACAGAATTTATTGCAAACTCCTGTTAAGACATTTTACTCCTATATAAACAACCCTACATGGGACCACGGGCTATAACCAAATTCAAAACACTGAACCACGGGTTATAACAAATAACTGCAACTAAGCAAGAAAACACATATTATCCTAATCATAGTCAGCAAATATTGGATATAAAAGCCCGAGCCAAACTATGGCAAATTAGTCGTGTCTCAGCGCTTTGCTGCAATCAGTAGGTGTTTAGAGACGACTCCAAGTTGGGGAACTATCTGGACTGATAAAGTTAATACGCTATCGTATCTCTATCAGGGCAGATACTCTCTGACGACCCAGGCTTTGACCTACAGTGAAAAGGCTTTCTAGATTTTCCTGTAGGGCTGGTTTGGTTGTTTAGCCTTGCAGGGGTATACCCGACGTTTGACTGTCCGCCCTTTTTTGAGCCTCACCACCCGAAGGGACGTTATCTGGTCCCAGATGACGATGATGTGGTAATAACTAAATATTCATGTTTCCGTAATCTCCGTCCTGTAACAATATATATTAGCTATTTAAAACTGTTCAGGTGTTTCCCTGTTACTCCTCCCTTCCCGTTCTGCTTTTCAGGGTGAATAGTCGAGCTACACAGCGAAGCAGAGACGTTTCGTGACATTTGGTGGAGGCGCCGCTTTCCTGGAACACCTTGACGACCTAGGACCTAGCCAAGGGAAACAGGCAGGACCACTCTGAACGACGGAAGGAAAATACCCTATAACCTATAACCTTTCCCTTAACCAATCCAAACATAAAAGGGATACACCAGATACTTAAAATTAATTTCGTCAATAATAATTTAAACAAAAACTCTGAAATCCAAAATCAACGTAATTTGTGAGCGGAATCGATCAACAATATTTGATGAGTAGACAAAATTGCTTCTTGAAGTCCAAATTGACGTCGAGCAAAATACACAAGGGAGGCTCAAAAGTGGCAGTTGAAAACAATATGATAGAAAGAGACTCGGAAGATGAAGAAGTTAACGAAAAAGACGAAGGATTATCAGAAAATGAATAAATGTAAAAAAAAGGGTCAACAAAAAGTAGTCAACGTCAGAGTTATGTTACCAAAAAACAGAAACGACAGAAGACTATTATGTATCGATCACACAATTAGGAAGAAGCACTAGATGTAGAGGAGAAAAAGGAGCAGAGTGATTCAAGATAGCACAAAGCTTAGCCCGTTTATGGTGACTTTCGCCAAGGAACCGACCATTCCGTCGGAAGCAATGTTGATTGATAGTGACTCAGAGGCGGATACGCTACACTTGAGGGAAAAAGCGCTAGCTATAAGGGCTATAGCGGCGGAAAAATATTTGCAAGAGGCAAATAAAGGATAAAGTACGATTCGACAGCAAACATAGAGAATTAAAGTTTGATATTGGAGATTTTCGTGCCGGTGAGAAAAGTAGGCCGAAGCGAGAAATTGCTATTGAAATGGTTCGGACCATACAAAGTGTCAAGAAAATTAGGAGAGGCAGTGGCGGCTCGTGGTATAACATATTGGGGGTGCACATAATTTGTAATTCATAATAAATGCCGAAAGGGGGATGCCCGCCGCAGGCGCCGCCGGAGGCGCGAAATTTTTTGGGGTGCCACGCCACGCCCAGAAGTGTTTATTTTAGGCCTTTAAAAAAATAATTTATTGTAAGTGATCGTATGAGTTATGTGATGTGTTTACCTACCAATAATTAAAAATATTGTTAAGGGATTTCATATCTACCCTACCAAACAACCAACTAAGCTCAATTTAATACTTTTTTCGGTCTATCAAATCGTGGAAATTGAAGGATCTTATATCAATAAACTAGAAATTAAGTAACAAAAGTAACTTACCTCGCTGAGTACATCGTCCTGGTCTAACAATTGTTTTTATACATAAATGTATTATAGTTTTCAATCTCACAGACACGTTTTGTATTGAAAGATAAGAGTAAGATGTGATTTTGAGTTTTGATGTTTTTTAATTTTTTCGGATAAATGTACTAAATCTTTAACGCCGGATTTTGTCCATTCTGATGCTTCATCGCTTCCAAATAACAAACAGGGAAAACAGTAAAGACTATTACTAACATCACAACCGCACAACCAGTCAGTTTTTTCGTAAGTTTCTATTTTAAAAGTTCGTTTATAATCACGACTTTTGCATTTTGTTATGTTGGTGATTATTAAATTTGGCTTTGGACGGCCGACACATTTGATTTGGATTTTTTCCTCCAAAGAAAGCGAAGAAAATTTAATTGTTTTTAAATATTGCACGCTAAGGCTATCGGGGTTCAGAAATCCCGCCATTCTACACACAGTTTTCAGTTAAATCGCGCTCGAAATCGAAATAAATATAAAACAAGCGCTTCCGATCCCAAAGTGCACTGACTACATGTGCACACCAGCCAGCTTAAAACATCGAACGTCGCTAGACCTTCGCGGGGAACAAAGAGTGCGGGGGGGCATAGTTCCACCAATTGGATTTAATATTGAAATGTGCAGTGAACGGGGCGTTCAGGCGACGCGGTGGACGCTGTGATTCCAGCGTTGCCGGTTGCGTTTGTTTTGCTGGCGCATTTGGCCACTAATTTTTTAAATTAATACTTTACAGGTAGAATGTTAAAATTTGAAGAATGATAAAATTAAATTTAAAGTTGTTTGATATTAATTTGGGAGTGCACGTGCACATGTGCTCTTATGGAGGAACCGCCACTGAGGAGAGGTCGACTATGAAGTTGAGAAAATTGGTGGAAAAAAGGACACGGTTCATGTAAGTAGGATACTGCCCTACTACGACCCTTGGACAGGGGATTCCTCAATTTTAGAAACAGAGTTATTAGAAGAATCGGAAACAGAGAGTAATGTTGAGGAAAATGAGGAGGAAATAGAGGAAATCAGCGAAGACTGAGGCCTCAAAAATTAGTACGAAATCGATTGGGATCGCGACCCACATCGGAAACATAAAACTTTAAGATAGAAAAAATATACCTACTCACTATTAATTTAATGAGCATATTTTTAATATAGCATATAGAAACATAATTATTATGATAATCAAAAAACCGCAAGCATTGCTTTATTCTATACCACACAAGTCTGCTATTAATATTCGTCATATATTTGGTGTATAAAATAAACCAAAATTTGATTAATAAGCAAACTTATTCTCGATCAGAACCCACGGTGTATAGCCTATTGCTTATTGAGAAACTAGAAAACAATGAAATCAGATGCAAGCTAAGCAAACCAACGCCAGCTACAACAATGGTTGCTGACGGAAGTACCTACTGCAAAATCAAGGCTTGAGCCTAAAATAAGCGAAAGAATTATTACAGGAACGTAATGAACAAATTTGTATTTTTTTTTTTAATTTTTTTTTTTGTAAGTTGATATAATAGGATATAAAAATATGAAATAATATTAGGTAAAATATTGCTGGCCAGCAACTTAATGGAAATTAGGGATAAAGTTATAATATAAATAAGGATACATAATATAAGGTCAGGTATTAGGTTACAAAAAATATATGTATATAGCAGGTATAACAAGGGATAGTAAGTAAGGATAATTATTATTATATATAAATGATAAAAAGGTAAGAGATTTCCGTACTATAGGATGTAAATAAAACTCGAAAATTTTGTAAACTTTGCTAATCACTGTTGTATAGTAAAACAAAGCAGAGGCGTCTCAACCATAACCTTCCAGTGGCAGCGGGAACTTCAAAGGAGAAAACTCAAAAAGCTAGGGGCACTATTCAAAGCGCCACAACCACGGAACAAGCTTCCAACCAAAGGTCCCCTACGAGAAACAAGGTCCACTACGAAAAGCAAACCACGGGCCAAGAATCCACGACATTGGATACACTAGCCCAGATACCACGACATGCGGAAGACAACGCCAGAACATCTACAAAAGCAATTGTTTGAACCAAGACCACATCTTCAAGACCAACCTAGGCCAATCGCTAGCCTAGATCCACGACATGGGATCCAACAACCTAGATACCACGACATGCGTGAAACGTTGTCAGAACATCTACAAGAACAATTGTTTGGACCAAGACCACGACATCTACAAGACCAACCTAGGCCAATTGCTAGCCTAGACCCACAACGTAGATCCACTACC